CCAGAAAGGTCAATATGTTGTTTGTTTCAACCCCTACAGTGAATTCCAGTGATGGATGTGCTTCATTAAATGATTTCAGTGTTTATGGGATGCCATTTTTGCGATCGGTCACACCGAAGATCTCATCCATATATCTACTGTAGTGTGCTAATCCTTCAATAGTTCGGCTCGGCGTGTGCCTTTCTAGTCCAGTCATGAAGAGGTCAGTTAGCAACGGACCAAGTGGCGATCCGATGGCAACCCCGTCCATCTGACGACAGATAGTACCGTCAAATACAAACTGGACCGTACGTGCGCAGCGTAATAACAGTTCCTTTAGATTTGTGACCGGAATACCAACGTCTGCATTCAGTGTTTTTATTTGATCACAGATGAATTCCACCATCTCCAGCAGGGGTACATTAGTGAACATTGAGACGACATCCAAGGAAAACATTGTCTTTTCTTGCAGATCCAGATCTTCTATTTGAGCTACAAACTGGAAACTGTCTCGGAACCAATGGCTGTCATTAAATAAGAACTCTTCCACTGTATGATACGTAATAGCATGACTAGGAATATTCAAAAGCAATTGTTCGCTCATCGACTCATTTTCTCAATACTATCATGGGCATATTCAAGCTTTTAAAAACAGATATCTGAATACTGCTGACAGAGTCTAATAGACTCTGGTTAAGGATAAGTTTATAGTTATCTCCGGGACTCTCGGAAAAGCGAAAAAGAGCGATCGAAAAGAGTGGCAAGCATCAAAGAGCGACCTTCGTGCTAGTAACGGTAGAAAAGAACGGTAAGGCAGTTGTTTGGCTATTTGTAAAAACTTTCGTCTTTTCTTGACTCATGTGATTTTGTGACCCGTAAAAGAGTGCTGTATTCGGTTAGTAAATTATGCAACGAAAACGAGCTTGTTTGTCAATATTTTTATTTGTTTGCAAGCGGCTTAAGAAAAGACAAAATGTGAGCTCAATACAACCCGAAATCACCAGAGGGCTTCGCGCCCGATGTGGCTATAATATACCAAATTGTGATATATTTGATGTTGGTAAAAGAGAAAAGACGGGGAATAACTTGAGAGCCACTTCATGAACTATATGGGTGAAAAGTCCTCCTTGAGAAATGCGATGTAAGTTCCGTTGGAAGTAGAAAACCACGATTATAATCTAACCAGCAAATCACAAATTCTGGTTTAGAAAATTCTGGACGAAGGGTTAGCTAATTTGGCTGTTGCTTTTCCCATACTGTGAGCATATTGATTTTTCACCGGTAATCCAAGTGATATAAGGGTTTTGTTTGAAAACAAATTGTGTTCACCATACAGTGACTGAAAAGTAACGATTCTTCAACCGGAGAACTTTCATTAGTTGTCTTTCCTATTGGGCGATAATACACTGACAACCAAATTCCAGTATGTTACAATGATCGAAAATGACTACAACTGTGTCATGTGACCAAGTATAGTTTCGAACAAATATATCGTATTTTCCTACTGCACTCATTTGAAATATACATCCCTAAAGCTCTTTGTTTTGATCGCGTGAAAAAACGTTTATCACCGAAGCGAGAAACAACATAATCCCTTGCGATGGTATTCTATTATCTACGTGGTAATCACAGGATCCCAATTTCAGAAAAACAGTGAAGACTGCATTAGCCAAATGTATTTGTGTTTGATTAGATCACCAAAAAAGTATAACAGAAATCAATTGTATTCAATTGTTTATCCTAAATATAATAAACACCTTTTTATTATTGTTGTGTTCGTTTTCCGGAATTTCAAATATGTCTCAGTATGGTGTTGATGATATAATTTGTGCTCAATTAGGATAATTCCAGCATTCTGTCACGCGAGTGTGATATGCAGAGGTAAACTGGAATAAGATGTACTAAGCTATGCAGAATTATTGGCATAATCTATCAACGCTTCTAAACTGACAGTTACAGTGTATGATAATTGTCAAGGTTAAAGATTTACGATGGGAATAGCTTATGAGCTCAAGCTTCCATTGACCACATTCAACATTTAAGCAAAAAAGAGAAATATCGCATACAGTTTCGGTATGTCAACTGATACCACTGTAGTAGCTGCAACTCTCCCAGCTAGGCTTATTACTGCCATGACAAACTTCTGAATCGAGTTACCCTACTAAAACAACAGCTTTGAGTTGTAGATAAATCTTTCTGCTTTGGACTCTTGTTGTGTTAGCTTATCCTCATGAACCAGCCTGATGAAGTGGTTTTCAGCGTTCAATAACTTGTTCACGTGACGATATCGGAAAGACGTTTGTAATCTCGCTATGATGGATTCTTTAGAGAGATATCTGTTTCCTCGTGCGACTTCGAATAGGTAACGTTCGGATGCTGGTCACTAATGTTAGTGAATTTGAAAGACTGTCGGCAAATTTCTGCCGGGAGACCAGCAGATGGCGGTGTTCGGCATTGGGAACCCACTGAATTGAAAGCGCTAATCTTTGTAACATTGTATACTCCATGGATCTTTGAGTACCGTTCAGAAAACACTTGTGACTTATACCAAAATGTGACAGGAGCCGAAAAGGGAGGATTGACTACCTCGCACGGAAAACCGTCGCAAACAAAGTAACACACCACCACCACGCGCAGAACGATCTTATCTTTGTAGAGAATTATTTGGTAAAGTTGGTTGGGATCGATAATTTCAACTGATTGCCTCGTTTCGGTAGCAGCGATAATATCCAAACGATTGTGTTGGAAACGGAATTTGAATTCGGAAACTGTGCTGAGGAATCGTTGGTCATTGTTGTATCTTAGCTACATTTCAGGCATCGTCGATGTAGAAATTCTTTTGGGTAACAAGTGGTATCTCTGTCAACTCCATAATGGTAAGTTAACAGCCGTATTTTGAGGAAAAAGGTCACTAGCCAAACTCTTCCGTTTAAAGCTATCTTTACTTTTGTGCTATCGGTTTGGGCATATTCGTGTAAATGGCTGTTAAGGTAGAGGTGTTTGCACCTTTTTTGTTCATTATCAATGGCCTTTATGCCGAATACGAGCTTCCGGATGGGGAATGCTGCTCTTTCCTGTGTAACGGTACTTTTGTTCCTCATTGTTTGGGGACAATACTAGTCATATCAACTGGGCGTATGATGTGCGTCTGAGTGGTACTATTCAGGGAATACTTGAGACGTTTAGTCAGTTGCTGAATCGAGCTCATTGGGAGAGCCTGGGGACACAAGGCTGCTGTCCTATTGTCTAATAATGGAATCTTTCCGTTAGGCTTTTCTTCAGCAAGTAAAAGCTTTTCAAACTTGTTTGTAGTGCCTGTTATTTGTTTGGTAAAAGGAGCTCTCAAGAAATCTGTGCATAACCCAAAATATCTGGTTGTGTAGCCATTTGTTTAATCAGTTTGCTTGTTTGCTAGACACACGAGGAATGAAAATACTTCGGGTTGCAGGTACATGTCAGTCCTGTTTTTACATCTTGGAACCACATACTTACAAAACTTATGCGACCTATGGTGGGACACTTTTGGACATCCAGAGACTCATAGTGATGAACAGAAGGGCAAGATGACAGACAGTTGACAAAGGTCGAGTGAAGCAAACTCAGCATGAGTGGGTCAACCAGTCTAAGGTGCGCAAAACGATGACCGGAGAATTGTGTAAGTATAGAATCCGATGAAGACAATTGGGGAACGAACAAGTGCAGGTGTGATAGGGAACAGCAGAGAATTAAAATGCACAAAATATACCCGTGGTTTTCGTCAAAACGGATCGAGAGATATCAAATAAAGTCTCGCCGTCGAATCCTCTTTAAAATGAAGGGAATATGCGCAAAATTCTTCACTTTTACTCGCATAAGTGCGGAAAACATTCGGTTCGGACAATGGAGCTGGAAAAGAGTATGATACTTAGGATTACATATCTACGAGATTAGTATCGCTCGACGGAGTTCACAAAACAGAGTCGAATGAGTGTTGACTCCACATAGCGTGACAGGATTTGGCAGAAAAAGTCGATTAAAACCAAAAGTGCACAAACCGACCAACCGCTCGACATAATGCAATCGGTACATAAGATATCCACAAGATTCTGCGTTGTCAACAATACGATATGAATATAAAAACTGTAACAAAACATCCATTTAGTTCACCTAACCTTAGTAGGGGTTAAAATATGCACCTGAATACACCGAAGGCGTCCACAAACAGGTTGATTCGGGCACGAATAATTGATTGTTTCAGATATATTTTAGCAGTTAACGCTGTAATTCAAGATTTGGAAACGGAACTCTATTTATCCGGATCATTTTATACAAAGATCTAGGAACGGTTCTTTTTATTTGGGGTTTGTGAGGAGCCAATGAACTAATGATTTTACTCGTAGTGGTATTCTGTTGTAGCCATCCATTTTCGTCGACGTTGAAGACGTTTCAAATTCTGAAGCAAACCGGGCGTAGCAAAATTGTGCGCTCTCCCTGTACATTCAAGCCATCTCAGCCCACGCCTAATTTATCTGTACTCCAGTACGCAGGTGTTGCATATTATCCAACAATGGGATCAATCAACGTTAAAACCACCAACTATACAGAACCGTTGAAAACGTTACAAGCCCACAGTGCTGGAATCAATTGCTTTGCTCTGTCTCCTGACCAGACGATTCTGGCCTCTGGGTCGGACGACTGCACGATTCGTCTATGGACTCAATGCGATGCGCAACAGGACTATGTACGATGCTATCAAATTTTGGCCGCGCATACCAATTACGTGACAGTGTTGATGTTCTTTCGGGATAGATTATTGTCCGGCTCAGCAGACCGAGATATTCGTCAATGGGATGTCAGAAGCGGACAATGTTTACTGGTAGGTCAGAGTGACATAAACAGCCGAAACTGAGTTCCTTTTTGCGGTTGGAGACTTGTGATTAACTGAAAGGCTGGACAGCTGTTTCGACGTGGTTGGGTTTCATCACCAGGGCGAATCCATTGACCTATCTGGGTTCAGAGCCAGGAAATTGTAGTCAGAATCCCCTCTGCCACGAGGGAGCTGAAAAGACTTTTGATTTTGAATATACGTGATAAAGCACAACCCAACATTGGAAGCTTGTTGCAGGTAGCGCACCTAGCTCACCCCAGTACTACCCTTCAAGGTTATGAACCGGTTGGAAAAATTCCAAACCGGATTGCTTGGTACATGATAGTGATGAATTAATTGATTCGAAACAACTGTCCAATGCCTCCTAACCTTTATTTCACGTTTCATTTATCCTGTACATGACAAAACTTACCATATGATCGAACCATATCATATACTTCTATCACTCAACTTATGATTAACTTAAACTGATGGTACAAATATGCCCGACATGGGTGACCAAATCAGATGGTAATATTGGTCATAGATCTGGACGTCGAAGAATATAACTCTGTTTCTGATATGGTTTTTGCCATGTTCACCGTGAAATCGGTTTTACGTTTGACCGTTGCCTCACATACTGGGCTTTGATGAAAATATTCTAATAATTGCTGAAAACAGGATAATGCTCTTATCACAGGTAATGTGTGGACGATTGTAAAACATTTTCCAGAGATACACAACAGATTTTTGCTTTGTCACCTCTCATCAGGCATGCGTATGCTTTATTCATCTGTCAAGGTATGTTTAACTCAAAACTCATGAAGATATTGGGGCCCAGTGCAGTTATGACGCTGACACGTGCGAGTAGTGTGATCTGATTTAACTACTGAATGCAGAAACGTCATCACTTCGTCGGTTCTTTAGGAAGCCACTTCGAACCGGCCCCTCTCGCAAGCCAACGTTTTCTTTTTAACAACCGGTTTTATGCCTCCGACTACAATTCGACCGGTTAATATTGTCATTCTTTTTCACAGCAAGGGTGCTCTCTCTTTTGGGCCATCAATATACTGTGATCTCAGAGTCATATTCAACCTAAGGAAATAAACACCGACACAATCGTAAAAGGAGCTTAGGTGAGTAGCTAATTATCTGACCAATGCAGCTTATGGAGATACGACCATCTTGTCGTTATGTTTCTGTTCCATTGGCTAATGGAGGAGCGAGATGATATAAATTCTAAGCACTAATCGCAGCATTTCTTTATACGGTCGATAAGTGAGGCGAAACTTACAAGTTGAAGTGCTATACGTTCCGATCCGTTCCGATGCTGCCTCGGTCGGACAGTAAGAGAGAGGAACCCAGTCCAAACTGCAGCGATGGACATTATTTTATTTCCACTGGTGAATAGTTCAAATTTATTTACCTAGTGGTGAACGATAACTAAAAATCCGGTGTCCTCTTGACACTGTAACTGCGTTCACAAGTGTGCTTTCGTTGTTCTGAATTGCTTTCTTTGAATGAAATTAGCAAATCAGGCGAATCAGTAATTTCAAAACATGCTTAACCAGTGTGATCGAAATTCTTCCTTGCTGAGACTGTGGTATGATTGGATGGAGAATGGGGCACAGTGAATAACAGTTTGCTACAATAAAAAGCACACAAAAATTTGAAAATGTTCCTTACCTCACCACTGTTTACGTAAGCTCCCAAAACACGATAAAAAAGAATTCTGTTTGTTATGTATGTAAGAGAAATGTTTGATAGATTTAAATGGACAGTTCTAATTTCATGAGTTCTGTCTGATGTTTGCACCAAGGTTCTCAGTGGTCATGACGATGTGATTAATTCAATAGTGTGCACTCGCGATCATGTGTTCTCCGCTTCGAACGACAAAACTGCCATATGTTGGGATTTTAATACCGGAATGCAGGTGACCCAGTTCAAGGGTCACACACACAACGTGAATGCTGTTACATGTACTGAACAGAATGAAGAAGCGGTGAACGAGAGAAACGGAGAAGCACATTCCGCCGGAGACATGGCAGCTCTGATCAAACAAATGGGGTCACGGGAGTGTGTGTACACGGGTTCAGCGGACAAAACGGCCAAAGCGTGGAGCACACGAAGCGGCAAATGTTTACTCACCTTCAGAGGTCACTCCGGACCAATCACACAGATGAGGATAGACAAACATGGGCACATTCTGTATACAATTTCTGCGGATGGAACGGCGCGTAGTTGGTACGCTGAATCGGCGAAACCGCAGTTTGTATTCGAAGGACATAAAAGTGATGTGATTTGTCTCGAGGTAAGCTTGATTGTAAATGACATTGTGTAAAACGAATAAACGTGAGTTCCAAATAATCTTTGTTGTTACGAGAAAATAAAAAGAGAATAATATGCCTAATTATTCTATTTGAAAATAAAACAACCAAAACGCAATGACACATGAAATTGCACCTGATATTTAATCATTGTCATTCCAAACAGTTGAAGACTGCGTACCAGTAGGCAGCAAGAACGGTATTTTTATATCAAACGTAAACCTAATTATTTGGTTGATATGTGCATGTCTGTCTATTCCATAGAACGCGTGCCACATTTAGATTTGTGAAAAATGCTAGACTGTAGCAACAAAACTCATCTATTTTTGCGTGTTCCTCAAACTTGATAATGTAACTGCTTACGTTTCATTACCAGCGCCAAGGTGATATCTCCATTGCTTGATGTAGTTCTTAATGATGTCACTTGGACTGGTGATTGGACATTCGCAGTAAAATTGATAGGCTCGGCGAGCAGGCGAAACTGAATGCAATCAACTCGATTCAAGGAATCCAATTTTCAACATTATAACTCTTCCTCGTAGGACCTACCAATACATCCCCAGTATGTTATACGTTTCAAGGTGCACCAGGATCCAGAGTGAAAACAATGATTGCACACCCCTTCAGTTTAGGGAAGATTAAGGGGCATCACACACACACACACACACTAGTTAAATCAAGACAGAATAGGATAAATAAATGACTCAGTCCTCGCGCAGCTCGTCGATACCTGGCCTGGAGTAAGTGTGGATCTCACCTTCCAGGCTGTTTATCGTGCCCCGACCCCAGCCTATCCACTAGAAATCCTGTGCCATATTGGGTCCATATAAATTTGTTATTGGGTCACTCCGATGTCACAAGCTAGTTGTACCGGTGGCATGACAAACTCAATCTGACTGTAAAATGGTCTTATCTATCGAAACCATGGTGCATCGAGGAGGGGGGGGTTAAACTGGGAGAATGACCAATGTCGGGAATAACCTACATCCGGTACTTTGATTAAGGTTTGCCGATTAGAGAAACCACAAAACTGAACAGCTCCTGATTAAAAACGGAGTTATGCCGTAACCGTATTTGTGTCCATGCTTGTATACTTGCCGGCAGATGAAGAGGCGTTCAGCGGGATTTTTATCGGTAGATTGTTGTACTCACGTTGATTTGCCTATGCATAAAGCGAAAAAGTGTACGGCGGATTAGTGTTTTTATTTGGGAATCAAAACAAAACTGGAAGTTACGAAAAGATTTTATTTAGCAAGAAATTAGTCAAACTAGTATAAATCTTTGTTTTGCCTCATTTCATTTTGTGGCAATCACGTGCTCCGTTTGTTAACTAGGAGCATCTTATATTTTTGTGAGTTGAATCCCCCCCCAAAAAAAACCAAAGTATTTTACCTCTGGGTTGAAAAACAATTTCAACTTGATATCCGAGTTGGAAATATTCTGTTTAGTTTATGTATTCTTATTTAAAAATCCTGTCTTCTTTTGGGAGTTTATCATGAATAATCCAACACTGAATTTCGGACTGGATTTTGGGCATATTTGTTCAGATGTAAAATGCAGCGCGCAACACAGAGCCATCTGAATGAATACATGCACGCAGCATACGCATTTCTCTGCTTATTCGGAAAACAGTTGAGCACTCGAACTCGCATGAAATCTCACGTTGTTCAATCAAGTTATTTGCTACTGATTTGATTCGAAAGTCTTCTTTAGTTTTGAACCCGGTTCTGATGAGTTTTTGTCGCACCATCATGATCTATTGGGGATTGATCAAACCGGATGATTTGTTGAAGACTGGCAGTGAATACTTGTTGGAATACCTTCTATTCACATCACCAAGAAGGTTGGCACACATTGATTATTTGAATTAACCATTTTTCATCTATGTATCAACTAGATGATATTTCAAACAGTTTGACGGTGGTTCCGATGAAATAAAATGCTCAAACTATTTTTTTATCTGTTTCCACGACACTACTTGTGCGTATACACATACAACCGGTTGGTGAGATGTATTTATCAATTTCATGTTTTGTTTTCTTCCATCTGATTGTGCTCGAAAAATGAAATCAGCTCACGGATAAAATGCTTTATACGGGCAGCGCGGATAAAACAGCCAAATGTTGGTTGTTGAGTACCGGAGCGTTGGTTCGGACATACAAAGGGCACAAGAGGACAGTCAATGCGGTAAAAAAGGATGGAAAACTGGGTGAGCGAAAATTAGGGTTTTGATTCAACAAAACATGTTTGAACAATCAAATGATTGAATGAGCGGATTTACAGGTGCTCGTCCCTTTAAATCAATCCATTGGACAGAGAGTCACTCCTCTCATCAACAATTATTTAATTAATCGGTTAAGTCAGTCTGCCAATCAGGTAGGAGTTACAGTGTAATACTACTACTACTACTACTAATAATAATAATAATAATAACATTAATGCATGGATACCATCAATGTTTTGTGAATAGATCAGTGCTGTCAACGTGGCAGAGTGCGCGTTCTTTTCAAAGCATAGATAGTGTCCACAAAACAAGGTTTCTTTTTTCGTTTTATCCACAGTGGTTACTGCAAGCGATGATGGCAATGTGAGATGCTTTGAAGAGAAAACCGGATCCACTCTTCATAACTATGGCAATAAAGCGATCGAAGGGTGCAATGCATTCGAGGTAAGCGAACAGTGCATAAGTAACAATACGATGTTTCCCGTCTTTCGTACGCAGAGGTTTTTTAGTTAGTTTTTTCTAGTTACGGTTATGGATTATAAACAGGGAAATTTTTATGCCACTTCAAAGTACAAAATAATGGACTAACCGTGTGGAATAAACTGAACTGAATAGACTGAATTTCCTCTGTGTGCCATGAGTGAAAACAAAAGGCTGTTTTGATCTCTAACTTGTGACTAAGAAGTTCAGGTTGCAAACGGTTTCAGAATATCAACAAACCTTTGCCAAACTTAACTTTTATGTTAGAATTCCCTATATGGGAACAATATTGCATACCTTCGTTCTAAAAATGGTTTTACTTTGATTTGTTCGATACAATGTGTGAACAGATGTGCACGAATATCGAGGAATTGAAGAGAGCTATTATTTATTGGTACGAGTAAGTTTGATATACCTGTCTCAGATGGTAGAAAGGAAGAAAACCATAAATTTCACTAATATCAGGTTGATCGCAAAACTGAGAATAAGCGGTCCGTTGATACAAAGTGTCTCCGAGCTCGTCTCTTGCCAATGGAAACACTATGGTGGAGCGGTAGACACATGCACCGTGATGATGGCCATTAACAGGACATCAACTGTGTCGTAAATGGCTTGAGCGTCAGTTGAGGTCATCATCGATTTCATGGACGTATTTGGGAAATTCACTGTTTAGCTAGACTTCTCCAAAAGTCATATTGTTTTCAATTTCTTATACGCTGATTAACGTTCATCGGCGTTTCGATCGTTCTCCCAATAACATAGTGAGGGATTGTTCCTTGATACTTCTGCCAAACAGTAGGCCCAAATATAATTACTTCTTTTTCGCTCCTTTGTATTTATGTGAAACCAATAAGACAACCAGTCAGTACGTGATCAGTACCGGGAACGACGGTCTGCTTGTCGTATGGCCGAAGTGGGTCGATCAACCTGTGAATGAAGAAGAACAAGCAGCCGGACAGACACAACCGAATGAATTATAAGCAAACAAACATGAACTCTGTCTGCCTGTGTGTGTCTGCGCTGAGCTATGCATCCTATTGTAGGCGTGCACACACACCCTTTGCCCCCTTATTCATCGTGTATCTGTCATGCCGCGAAACAGTTGTTTATTGTTCTACAACTGATTGTGATTGAAATCACCCACCTCTAAAATGGTAACGATCACTGAAAAAACAAACTTTGTACGTCATCCAATTCACATTTTCCTTGTCTGAGTTTCAGTTTGAATATCCCATGACAAGAGTAAGCGTATCCGAAAACATATTTGTTTTGTAACTACCTTTCCATTTTGACGCAACGCAAACTACTTTTCAATATCTTTAATGCAGTCATCTATTTTGCGGAGGATATCAGTGATTTGCATTTTCATGTTTTACTTTTACTGTTTTGGTGACCAAAATGTATAATAAATAATGGTTCTTTATTTCTTGTTGATCAATTGATGGATTTGCAAGCTGTTCACTTTCGAACGTGTTTATTGTAGTGGATTGCTAATATTTAATTGTCAGCGCCATTGAAATCAACGTTGTACAACTTTCAAGTTGACGTGCTGTTCAAGAAACGGTCTTTGACCTCCTTGGCGAACCAAATACACGAAACCATTTATACCAAGAAACATTCAACAAGTCGGAGATTCCTCAGTTTTTGAAACACGATTTCCTTTCACTCATTTACAAAGGCTGCTATCGAAGTGATCCCACGAACTACCACTGAGTTAGGCTTCTTGCTGTGATCTCAAAACAATTGGAATCAATTATTGCTGATTTCCTCGTGGAATACGTACATAAAATAACTTTACGTTGCCAGCTTAATACGAGTTTGGACGAAAACAATCATGGCTCAACAATCTACCGTTTGCACGAGACAAGTCAACATAAATAGTCAAAGTGACGCGGGTCGTAAACGTATTTTATTTGGAGTTTTCCAGACCTCCTGATTAAGCAAGTCGATATACAATGCTGAGAAAGTTCTATCAATACGGAACGGATTGTAAAATGTATTCGAAAATGTACCGATTCAGTTTACAAACAACTTTACCGCCGTTACTGCCTAGGTTGACTGAGTATCACATGAACGAGCGTGCGCACGCCACATGGTACAAGGTTTTTCTGAGAAATTGAAACCTTTGTGAGGTTCGGAAATTACAAACATCCATGAATATTTGATGCCTGATATTATCCACAGAAATCATGCGTTCACACTGACAGCATTTTCAAATGAGATGGACAAGGAATAATTTGCTTCGTCTGCCTGTTCACTTCACCTAACAGTTACACAAAATTCACTCTATGCTCGTAAGGGGGAGGGAGGATTCTTCCGGTCTCATTTTTACTTGAAGCTTTAATTTCGTAAGCATCTGGATTCGGTGTTTCCTTTATCAGGGCTCATCCTAACAACTGGTTCATGCCGCTCATTGTCGGCAGATACAAGAAAACCACTTCAAAATATACATCAGATAAACTTTAAATCTGTTGATGAATGTGAGCTGTTGCAGAAGAATGTGGATGTTTAAAAGTGACTGAAAAGAGAATTACATAACAAAAAATAAATTGTTCGTCTTCGGGACAAATGCTCTACGTTTCTTTCACCTCACGCAGCAAAAAGCCACACCGTTTATGCATACAACCGCTTAGAAAAGAGAACCAGACAACGGGTAATGCAAGATATTTGGTAAAGAGAAGTGAAATGTGTGGTACTGGGAGGGGGAAACCGGAAACTACGAAACAACACAATGCTACTTTGTGAACCGCATCTGTTTTTACAAAGCACAAGGACGCACTTTCCTGCACCGAATTTCCGAGAGATTTCACTATATGCACGAAGCTTATCCTCTCCAGATGGTCAAGTGAATTGAAGACAGCCTCATTTAATAGTGGAGTCTAGAGATACCAATTTTCTTTGTCCCATTATGTATTTGAATGGGTTTATGGATAGATTCAATTTGCATTGATGCTTGTTTGAATTACTTGCTGTACCATTTCAAAAGGATCTTTTACAGCAAAATTCATCGTGGAATGCCTCACCGGTTCCAGAATTTTGACTAATCATCTCGTGGTGAGATAAATGTTTCCATGAGAAAACCGATCGGTGGTACACCGAAATTATGAATGTTGCGTAGGTCACACATTTATGGAGTCTCACCTAATCCCATGTTTAGCTTATTGGTCGTGCTTTAGTCAATCAAATGGGCCCCAGGGGTAAATTAAAGTTCATATACAAAGGTCTCGTTTAGCGCATTTGGTTTGTTTAACTCTTACTACTGATACTGTCTTTCAAAACCTACCGCATATTTGTCGACAGCCAATCTTGTATCTACACCAGCCGTAA